TAAATTCCTGCTGAGTAAACCCAACAGCTGAGGCTCGGGAAGGGAAGTGTGTGTGTATGAGAAAGAGAGTTTACACAGAAAGAGTTTACAGAGAGAGTGAGCAAGAGAGCAGAGTATACAGTATTGAGGAAATTGTTCACCTTCGCGTCTTGGGTTACGATCGGATATGGAAACCCAATTAATTATTGAACTAAACCCCGATCTAACATAACCTGATATAATATGAAAACAACCTATTCTAGTTTACAAAAAATATATTCTAATTTATTCTAACATAGTCTAAAATAACATATCCAAACCTAACCTAACTCAACTTACCCTCTAAACATGATATAACGTAACTAATCCTAACTTAATATAACGGTACCTAACTTTACGTAATAGTGTATTAGGAAAATTAACGCTTGATGGGATTATGTCCACTTTGTGAAGGTTTTGTCCAGTGGGAAATATTGTCCAATGGGATTTTTCTCTTATACTGAATAATATGGCTAAAATTTGTCCGATGGAAACTTTGAAGGTGGTGTATTCTTGAAGGGGAGGGGAGGAGGGGGTTGTCCAGTATGAAATCGTGTAGTGGGATATTCTCTTCTCTTATGGGACACTGACTACACTGAGCCGAGGTAAGACACACTAATGTACTATACTGTAGGTGACGCAGTGCAGTGAGCGGTGGAGCTGAGTCACCCCCCCCCCTTCCCGACGGCCCTTAGTAGCACCTCCTTAAGTGTTGTGTGTGTGTGTGTGTGTGTGTGTGATGAAAGATAAGTTTTTTGTTATTCATCTTTGTGTTCCTGTATATAAAACACACACCCACACACACACACACACCCACACAGTGTTGAATAGTGATGAACAGTGCTTAAATCAGTGAAAAACAAATCGGCAGTAACAGCTGAGTCTTACCCACGCTTACCTTCACACAGTGAGGTCCCAGGTACCCAGTTATAATTGCCCCTGAGACTCAACAACACCAGCTATGTGTTAATCCGTCCACGATAGGGAGGCCTGGGACCACACCTCACTTACTTGAATGAGAGAGGTCCTGTGACACCAGACCACGTGGTGTCCCCATGATGCTACGACACCACGTAGTGAATGAATTGCTACAACATCATGTGAGGTTCCTCATAACACCATCCGTGAGGGAATTACTACACCATGTGATGCCCCTCATAACACCATCTGTGAGGGAATTACTACATCATCAGGCCCCTCATACACCATCTGTGAGGGAATTACTACACCACGTCAGGCCCCTCATAACACCATCTGTGAGGGAACTACTACACGTGATGCCCCTCATAACGCCATCTGTGAGGGAGTTACTACACTACGTGTTTGCTGTTCAACACCTCAGTGCACAAGATCTACGTGACCTCCACTGTAAACATTAATCTGTATATTCACTGTATGTTCCTTTACCTTTCTCCAATGAAGGCTTTTGTTAAACCACCAATGTATGTAATAAGTCATTTATGTCCAATGTATATTTTCAGCCTTCGGGCTGCAGAACTTTTTCAATAAACCGTTAATTATTATTATTATTATTATTATTATTATTATTATTATTATATATTATTATTATTATTATTATTACTACACACTCACACACATCAATAAGCTTGTTTACCCAAATATTTTTCCAGGCATCAAATGGAGGCCGTCGGTGCTCAATTAAGATAATTAACCCTTGGTGTGCTCAATAACAGACCCACCCTGTCATCCATCCTGCCGCCCACCACGCCACCCACCCTGCCATCTATCCTGCCGCCCACCACGCCACCCACCCTGCCATCTATCCTGCCGCCCACCACGCCACCCACCTGCCATCTATCTGTGCGCCCACCACCCCACAGTCATCCATCCTGCCGCCCCACCACGCCACCCACCTGCCGCCTACCCCTGCCCACCCACCACACCCACACCACCCTGCCATCTATCCTGCCTTACCACACCGCAGGTTCCATACAAGGAGTATTGGTTACAAGACTAGCAGGTCATCCTAAAACAACTTGTCTTTATATTGTGAGACCACATGGATTTTTCAGTTCAGTTCTGAGTCACCCGTATTACGAATGGATATGAGAATCATGGAAAGAATTCAGAGGAGAATGACAAGACTAATCCCGGGCATTAGGAAACTTGAGTATAGAGACAGGTTAAAGCATCTTAATTTGCACTCCCTCGAGAGACGTAGAGCGAGGGGCGACCTGATAGAGGTGTACAAGTGGAAGGCAGGGCTAAACAAAGGGGACATTACAAAGGTACTCAAACTATCCAACCAGGAGCGAACTCGTAACAATGGTTTTAAATTAGACAAATTTAGATTTAGGCGGGAAATAGGTAAACACTGGTTTGGAAACAGTGGTGGATGAATGGAACAAGTTACCAAATATCATCATTAACTCGAATACGCTGAATAGCTTCAAACATAGGTTGGATGCTTATATGAGCAATAGGGGTTGGGTGTAAACGGGACTGCCCAGTATGGGCCAATAGGCCCGCTGCAGTTTCCTCCATTCTTATGTTCTTATGTTCTACCATCCATCCTGCCGCCCACCACGCCACCCACCCTGCCATCTATCCTGCCGCCCACCACGCCACCCACCCTACCATCCATCCTGCCGCCCACCTAGTGCTTCACCTTGCATGCCTTCCGTCCTCCACCCTGTGCATAATGATAGCGACTATAATAACCTGTGTAGAGCTTCCCTGTTGGTGTGGTTATGACAGGTAAGTGTTTATGGTTCATTCTGGAGGTGTTATCGTGGGGGGGGATGATCAAGAATGGGCCATGGCTTTGTAGTTCAGTAGGAAGGTTCTTGTGGGTGATAGTGAGGGGCGGGGGGTGGAGAGGGGTGGGGGGACGTCACGTTATGATAATGAAGAGCGGATCTGTTGGTTTCTGGGGAGGGGGGGAGATTCTCAAAACTCTTTACGATAAGTTCCCCCCTTCCCCCTTTAATCTGGCATTAGAGAAGACATCACCTTAATGTACTAGAGTCTTGGTGCCATTTCGACGCCATTAAGACCGCCATATCTTACGAGAAAGTTGAAGTTAGTAAAATTGCGAGGTCTTGGCTCTCTCTCTCTCTCGATTTAATAAGAAAATTTAACTGAGTCTTTTTGAGAATTGAGGAAGACTTGAAGGAGGGGAGGATACTATCTCCGTCTTCCTAGCTGCTAAAGAGAATCCAGTATATTGATCCATTCGCTCCTCTTCTCGGGAGGTTAATGAACGTGTGGATATTGCTGGAGGTGGTGCAAAAGTTGAAGAGTTTAAAGGTTGTTGATTTAGCCCTTCCCTCCTTGTTCTCTCTGCCTATGTCAACAACTTTACACTGCCACTCGTAAAGTAATAATGTTAGAATATCAGGTATGTGTTGCCACTTTGTCAACACACGAGTCAGGGGAGATATTAGGTGGGTGTGTTGAGGAGAGATACTCGCTGGGTGTGTTGAGGAGAGATACTCGCTGGGTGTGTTGAGGAGAGATACTCGCTGGGTGTGTTGAGAAGAGATACTCGCTGGGTGTGTTGAGGAAAGATACTCGCTGGGTGTGTTAGGGAGAGATACTCGCTGGGTGTGTTGAGGAGAGGGATATACTTTGGTGTGTTGGAGAATGCCAACAGAATTGTGGTAGGGAGAGACACTCCTTCGTGTATTTGAGGAGAATACTGCTGGTGTGTTGAGGAAATACTCTCCTTTGCCAGAAGATTCGTCAACCTCCACCATTCAAGACAGAGATAATTTCTGGCGATAGTCCTCTACTCTTATTTCCAAGTTCATCGCTATCAAAGCTGTCGCCTCTCCAGATCTTGACTGACTGGAGGTTACCACTCAGGTGTTTCGTCACTTCAGTCATGTCTACGTCTGAGTTGTTTACTGTTGTTATGACAGCTTTTGTTTATTATCAAGGTGAAGTGAATGTTCTCTTGACAGTATCTTCATAACACTTTACGGATTCACTTCAAATTGGAGTCTCTCTCTCTCTCTCTCTCTCTCTCTCTCTCTCTCTCTCTCTCTCTCTCTCTCTGTCAGGTAACAGATAAGTCTTTGTTGTCGAGTAATATCCTGAGAATATTTCGGTGTATTTGTTTTTATTTTATGAACTGAAATATCCATAAATTTGTACCATTTTTTGTTCAATACTTTTTGTGGTTGAATTACCCCAGTTTATATCACCTAAAGATTAAACATACCTAACGTTAACCTACCCTAACCTACCCTAACCTAACCTAACGTTAACCTAACCTACCCTAACCATACCTGTTCTACCCTAATTAAATCTAACCAAACCTGTCCTACCCTAACCTAACCTAACCCCCTGAAATAGTGTTAGGGTGGTTAATCTTCAGGTGATCAAGAAAGAAAAAGACTTTCATTTTCCAACACTCCAGGGGATTTAATTTTAATCCACCCTCTGACATGACCTACCGATGATAATATTGTTACCGTTGTATAAGTGAATTGTATCTTTCATTGTTAAGGCAGGTTAAGAGGGTCTTCCTACCTTAATCTTATCTAGAGAACACCTTAACGAGTTTATATACCTGTTGACCTCTATTGCATAGTGTCAATTAACCTGTAGGTGTTGATGATGGTGTACAGTAGTTATGGCACCTGAGTGATTCCTGTTTTGTTATGTTACTTTTTTCTTCTTCTTCATCTTCCTCTGCTCCTCTTCTTCCTCTTCGTCCTTTTCTTATTTTTCTTAGACCTCCTCTTCTTCCTCCTCCCTACTTATTCATCCTTCGTCCTCTTCCTTCCTCCTCTTCCTCCCCTCATCTTCCTTCTTATCCTTTTCTTCGTTTTCGTCCTCTTCCCCTTCTTATTCTACCTCTTCCTCCCCTTCCTCTTCTTCTAGGTCCTCCTCCTCTTCCCCCTCTTCTTCCTTTCTTCCATATACACAAGCCTCTAATCCCCCTCCCCACCACCCCCTCTCCACCCCCCCTTACTATACACAGGTTCCTTGACGCTGTTGTGTTCCCCCTGTAGATGCGGTGGTTGAGCGTGGTGCTGTGGGCGTGGTCGTGGTGGTGGTCGTGGGCGGTACCAGTCCCGGGTAGTTACTACACCGACGAGGCCGCTGGCAGACTCCTCCACTACGACATTCAATCCGGAGACTGTGTTCTCTTTGGCGACAGGTGAGTCAGTTGCAGGTGTTGGACAGGTGGAGTTGAAAGACAGGTGTTGATGTAAATTCGAGGGGAAAGGAGAGATAAGTGTAGGTGGGACAGGTGTAGGTGTGAGGTGGAACAGGTGTAGGTGAGAGGTGGGACAGGTGTAGGTGTGAGGTGGAACAGGTGTAGGTGTGAGTGAGGAGGGACAGGTGTAGGCAGGTGTGAGGAGGAACAAGTGTAGGCAGGTGTGAGTGAGGAGGAACAGGTGTAGGCAGGTATGAGTGAGGAGGGACAGGTGTAGGCAGGTATGAGTGAGGAGGAACAGGTGTAGACAGGTGTGAGTACGGAGGAACAGGTGTAGGCAGGTGTGAGTAAGGAGGAACAGGTGATGGCATAACGACAGGATAGCGTACAGGTGTAAGATTAATTAAACCATACTAATAAACAACATTAATATTAAGAAACAAAAACCGTAAAATATAATAAATTTCAAGTGTGTGTGGGGAGGACGCTTACTTCCTTATGGCGCTGAGGTGTAAACAACTGTGAACTACGAACCTAAATAAAGATGTAAGTTGAAGAGAGTCGTAATTCTCTTAACTGTAAGAGCAATAGAGAGAAACTTTTACCAACGTCTTCTCCAAACTTCTGTGGGTACACATACTGTGCATTAAATTTCAGTAGCGCGGGTATAATAGTTTTGGTGTAATTGGGTTAAAAATATTTTAAGCTCGTGGTGACAGCTGGACTCAAGGCTGTTTAGCTACGAGTGTTGGTTAGCATAATATAGAGTATACTTCAGGTGTTTATTAAAAATTTATTCAAAATATATGAAGCTGAGGTAACAACGAAATAATGTTATTAGAGATACACTTTGGAGAAATATAGACTTGATGGAAAAGGAAATGAATACGAGAAATTAATTAAAAAGTAATACATTAAAAAACGAGAATAAATATCACTAGGCAAGTTGCACTGAGAGGACATTCACTCAAGATGAAATCGGAAAAAATCCTAATTAGAACTACTTAACACTCAAGAATACTGAATATCATAAAAGTAAAAAAATAAAAAATAAATAGATAAATACAGAAAACGTTAAAATGTATCAATAAATAATAGTGAAATAACTGTAAGCTCAAGAGATCCAATTTTAATACAGTTCAAGGATATGAAGAAAGGAGCTCATCGAGACAGCAAGTTGGCGGGATACTCGTTGAGCGTCTACATAATTTGGTGATTCGGTCTCCCCTGACGCCGTTGTTGACTCCAGTTCCAGCAATATCAAGAGTCCTATTGGCAATTGGAATGAAAATAGAAAAATACGAGGGAGAAAAAGAGGAAAAATGACTGGGAGGGATAGCGCCTAACACCTTTGATAAGAACTCTCAGCCTTACCAACTGACTCCACACTCGGAGATAAGACAAAAGATAGCGAGAGATAAAGAAAAACAGAGAAAGAACAAAAAGTATATACAAATAGAGAAGGAGGAGAACTACAGACAGACATAGAAAAGACACTAGAGAAAGGGGCAAAGACAAAACTAGAATGAGAGAGAGGAGAGAGAGACTCGACGACACATCAACCAACATCAACACTGGATCAAAGGCGTCACATAACTTCTGGCTCCTGTCAACATCCCGCGTTCTCTATCTCCAGCTTCCTAATACTGCGTGTCTCTTTCCTCTTCCTGCCCTCCACTTTCTTCCTTCCTTCCTCTTCCTCCTATTCTTACTACTACCATTACGACTACTATTCCACCTCTTACTACTGCCACTACTAGTACTACTACTATTACGAATTTACGACTACTATTGTATCTCCTCCTTCCTGTCTTGCTCTCATCCTACTCCTCCTTTCCTCTTCTGCCTCTTATTCTCCTCTTCTTGCTTCTACTTTCCTCTTCCTCTTATTACTTTCCTCTTCCTCTTATTACTTTCCTCTCCATCCTACTTTCCTCCTCTACATTACTTTCCACTTCTTCCACTTACGTCCCTCTCCCACTACTTTCCATTTCCTCCTACTTTCCTCTCCATCCTACTTTCCTCTTCCATTACCTGAGGAACATACACCTTTGCGTGGATTGAATATATCATGGCTTCAGGGGGACAGGTTTATCCTACCGGGAAATCCATGACTGAGTGGCGGGCTTAAGAGCTGACCCCGTGCTTGATCTTCTCAGGCTGGGAAAGGAAACATTTAATAGCCAACCTCTCGTGTTAGTGGACCTGGCCTCTGGTACACTCCCCGTCAGCCCTGGACTCTGATACACTCCCCGTCAGCCCTGGACCCTGTTAGTGTACCTGGTCTCTGATACACTCCTCAGTGTAGCCTGGCCTCAATACTCCCCCGTCAGCCCTGGACCCTGTTAGTGTACCTGGCCTCTGATACACTCCCCATCAGCCCTGGACTCTGTTAGTGGACCTGGCCTCTGATACACTCCCCTGTCAGCCCTGGACCCTGTTAGTGTACCTGGCCTCTAATACACTCCCCGTCAGCCCTGGACTCTGTTAGTGTACCTGGCCTCTGATACACCCCCGTCAGCCCTGGACCCTGTTAGTGTACCTGGCCTCTGATACACTCCCATCAGCCCTGGACTCTGTTAGTGGACCTGGCCTCTGATACACTCCCCGTCAGCCCTGGACCCTGTTAGTGTACCTGGCCTCTATACACTCCCCGTCAGCCCTGGACTCTGTTAGTGTACCTGGCCTCTGATACACTCCCCATCAGCCCTGGACCCTGTTAGTGTACCTGGCCTCTGATACACTCCCCGTCAGCCCTGGACCCTGTTAGTGTACCTGGCCTCTGATACACTCCCCGTCAGCCCTGGACCCTGTTAGTGTACCTGGCCTCTGATACACTCCCCATCAGCCCTGGACCCTGTTAGTGTACCTGGCCTCTCATACACTCAATTTCCATACATTTACCAACTAAGATTATTATTTATCTCGACCCAAGTACCCCCAACGTTGTATGGAATGTCAGTTAATGAGACACAGTGCAAATAAGAGTAACCAGCATTTAAAAAACGTGTAAATAATGTATATCGTGATCCCATTTATCTGTTGTCTGGAAAAGTCGTCTTGATATGCTAAGTTGAACCGAGTATAAATCAGACTCTCTTTATCCAGATTTTATTCACCTATCCATGGGATTAAGTCGTATCCCTTAAGAAGCTAAATGCAGGACACAGCTGATCAGAGTATAGCTTTTCATTCAGCTTCTCTGTGTGGTTCAGTTTTAGCTGCTGGACCAAAGCAATGGATATCGCAACAGCTGCCTCACAATCACAGCAAGGCAGTGTGTTCACCTCTACTACTAATACCGATGATATATTAAGTCATTTCAAACAATAAATCAACAAATTGGCTTTCATCTTTACTCCTCGTTTTTTAAGTCCAAGCCAGATCACGGTAGCCAAAAGCCTACTACTCATCGGCATCCATGCAACCTCTCTTCTTAAAGGCCTAGACCAGACTCATAACGTCGGGATTTGCATAAGTACGGGGACATTCCGGTCATCTCCCCCACCTTGAGTTTATATGCAGAGTGGAATCCTCCTCTTGAATCCATTAGGGACTCTTTCACTGAGGTCTCTTTTGTCGAATAACCAGACAATCGACGATGTTGATATACTAATGTGTTTTGAGTGTACGAGTGAGTGGAGGATCTGTGATAAAATACTTCCTTCGACCATCACACAGCACAGGGAGAGCCTTGACGATAATTCAACCCAGCACTCTCTTCCCGTGACACGTCTCATAATTAAAGTATGCCATAATCTCTCACACACATCGATAACGACTCAATATATGTGAAAATGTTAAATCTTCTACTTAATATGAAACGTAAAATACACGAACACACAAAATAATTCCTGGTTTTAGTTACGTGTGTCTTTCTACATTTACAGAGTCATAAACAAAACCATCTCTCGAGGATTTGCCCCCCAAGAGATTAAAAAAAATATATATTCTTCATTAGACAGGATGTAAAATAATCTCCTACACCATGTTGTCATTTCCTCTGGTTCCATTTCTTCCCCCCTTCTTCCTCCTCCCCTTCCCTTTCTTCCCCTACTTCCTACTCCCTTTCTTCTCCCCTTCCTCATTACTCGTACCTCTCTTTCCCGCCTCTCCCTCCATCACTCACATTGCCTCAAACACCCCATCCTCCTCCGCCTCCCCCCTTCTCTCCCTCCTCCTCTTCCTCCTACTCTTCCACCCTTTCCAGGCCTTCCTCTTCCACCTCTTCCTCCGCCTGCTCTCACTCCTCCTCATCTTCTGCCAACTCCTGATTCTCTCCCCAGAGGACGTGTATTTTATTACCTTGTTCCTTCGTCTTCCAGCTCTACACCCACACCCACCTCTCCCCCACCCATGCCTCCCCCTCTCCCTCACCCCCTCCCTCATCCCTCCCTCTCCCCTCAATCCGTACCCTAGCTTTCTTTCCCTCCCTCATCTATTACCCTCACCTCCCCCCTCCCTTCCTCCTTCACATTCCATGGTTCCCTTGACTGCTTCCCTTGTTGGTGGGAGATGGATGAGAGTCTTGAGTCCTTGTCCCTTTGTGTCCGTCCGTGTTTCTTTGTCTCCCTGTGTCCGTCCGTGTTTCTTTGTCTCCCTGTGTCCGTCCGTGTGTTTCTTTGTCTCCCTGTGTCCGTCCGTGTGTGTTCTCTTTGTCTCCCTGTGTCCGTCCGTGTTTCTTTGTCTCCCTGTGTCCGTCCGTTTCTTTGTCCCCTGTGTCCGTCCGTTTCTTTGTGTCCGTGTCCACCTCATAACCCACGCCTGTAACCCACGCCTGTCTACCTCATAACCCACACCCGTCTCTCATAACCCACGCCTGTCCACCTCATAACCCACGTCACCTCATAACCCACGCCTGTACCTCATAACCCACACCTGTCTACCTCATAACCCACACCTGCCTCCACGCCTGTCTACCTCATAACCCCACGCCTGCGCCTACCTCAATCATCCGCCCATGTCTTCTTAATGCGGGAGTGTAGTGGGCGTGGGTAGGC